TCGGTGACAACGACTTTAACAAGAAATTCACACGTGCAGTTATTATTATCTTATTTGCCTACCTTTCTCTGATTTTCCACGACAAATTTGGCTGCATTCACTTTGGACCTCGATCGTCCTGCGTGGTCAGTCAGAGATCCCTAGTCAAATATGAATTAGCCACTGAACCGCTTCGTATGCTAGGTATTAATTACTTTAATAGTCTTTGAGAACATATAGTATTTTGAAGCATTTGAATATTAATTAATTACCTTTGTATTTTTATATTTTTGTGTCGTCTGTTTGTGCTGAAAGCGCCCTGTGTCACTTGTGTGGAATGCCGACATATTGTCATGTTACTTAATACAAAGTCTTCAGTTTTATGATATCATCGGTATCATTGTATCATCAAATTTAACGCAGGAGGACGAATGATACCTTTAGTTGTTTGTAAATCTTTCTCTCGTAGGGATGTGCAAGAATATGGGAATCGGTCCAAAATATGTTGTGAAATTACTGATGTTTTACAATGTTGATATTATCAGGTACGTGTCACACCGATGTTACTTAGACAACGCATATCAACGGCATAATTGAACCAAAATATCAAAACTATATGGAGTCAGGAAAATGACATAAAAAAGGAAATTAGTGTATGACCACCCGTAAAAATATATCTTATTTATCTGTTTCCGATATCTACGACAGATCGTGTTTTTTCAGGACTGAGCTTTCAATTGTTTCACAGTAAAAGAGGCGAGGTCAGTTTTGCCAGAGATGTAAAATATAGTATCATGTGTCCTGGCTTGTATATTTACAATAAAATACAATGAAACTGTTGGTGATGTTGCGTGACAGATAAAACTGTGTGTGACCATGTGTGACAGATAAAGCTGTGTGTGACCATGTGTGACAGATAAAGCTGTGTATGACAGATGAAGCTGTATGTGACCATGTGTGACAGATGAAGCTGTGTGTCCATGTGTGACAGATGAAGCTGTGTGACCATGTGTGACAGATGAAGCTGTGTGTGACCATGTGTGACAGATGAAGCTGTGTGACCATGTGTGACAGATGAAGCTGTGTGACCATGTATGACAGATGAAGCTGTGTGTGACCATGTGTGACAGATGAAGCTGTGTGACCATGTGTGACAGATGAAGTTATGTGTGACCATGTGTGACAGATGAAGCTGTGTGTGACCATGTGTGACAGATAAAGCTGTGTGTGACCGTGTGTAAATTATGAAATTGTGTGTGATAACGCGTAAATTAAAAATAAAATTCTGTGTAATCGTTGCCGAATGATAAAGTTATGTGTGATGATGCTGTAATGATGAAGCTGTGTGTGATGATGTGTAAATGATGAAGTTATGTGTGATGATGCTGTAATGATGAAGCTGTGTGTGATGATGCTGTAATGATGAAGCTGTGTGTGATGATGCTGTAATGATGAAGCTGTGTGTGATGATGTGTAAATGATGAAGTTATGTGTGATGATGCTGTAATGATGAAGCTGTGTGTGATGATGTGTAAATGATGAAGTTATGTGTGATGATGCTGTAATGATGAAGCTGTGTGTGATGATGTGTAAATGATGAAGTTATGTGTGATGATGTTGTAATGATGAAACTGTGTGTGATGATGTGTAAATGATGAAGCTGTGTGTGATGATGTGTAAATGATGAAATTGTGTGTGATGAGGTGTAAACGATGAAGTTGTGTGTGACGATGCGTAAATTATGAAATTGTGTGATGATGTTGTAATGATGAAGTTGTGTGTGACGATGTGTAAATGATGAAGTTGTGTGTGACGATGTGTAAATGATGAAGTTGTGTGTGACGATGTGTAAATTATGAAACTGTGTGTGAAAATTTCAACTAATTTAACCTTGAACCTTCTCTGATAATCATAGTCAATATTGAACGACTCATTTAAATGTTTGACGAACATATGATCATCACCTTTATCAGTCAACATCATTTATGATGAAATGGCGTAGTTTTCTTAATGTTTTATATGGAAATGAGGTAAATAAATAAACACCGTCTCTAGCACTCACTCAGATGACAGAAAATGCTTCTTCGGCTCAGTTGGTAGAGTTCTTAAGGATCAAAGAGACCTGATAACTTGTTTTAGTTCCATTATGACCTAACTAAATATGATGATTTTATTTCATCATCGTGTTTTTCCGGTACATATGAAATGCAGATCTAAATATTGTATACTGTATGACCTTGCAATACTCTATTAAAAATACATTAATGACAAACAGCCGTCTTCATGCAATATGAAACCTTTAGGGCTATTGTCAAACTACATGTATATCAATAACATATTAAAATCTATGCATCAATAACTCGGATTGACATGCTCTTCCACACATACACATGTTCCAATCACTCGCAAATTAAAAACTAACCTTTCTAGTCCTTGTTAATTACCTTTTTTTATAATATGTATTATCCGATCCAGCGTCGACCGGAAATATCGGTTAAAATCGAATTTGCATATTTAAATAACTCATTTAAATATGTTGTATAATTTGTGACGTTTAAATGTTCCATTTTGAGACAAAGTAACTCCTACCGTCCTCCCTTAGGCGTATTTCTCGTATTGTTTTCATAAAGACGTGTATGTTGGTGTAGAGTCATTAGCATACATTGTGCTGTTCCACTTAAAATTCAATGCAACGAATAAAAGCAACTTTTTGAGAGGTGTTTAAGTTTGAAAAAACAACTACGTAGCAATATTTTTGCAAAAAAAAAATCAAAGGGGAAAAAAAGCTGAAGCATGGGAAGATTTTGAAGATAATTGATTCTGGTGAAGTGGATGTGTTTTACATACGTGAAATATACGTTACCTTTCGTTAGGATTCTTAAAATAGTGTATTTTGACATGGATGGTTTGAAACACCGCCTTTAAGATTTTTTCCTGTTGTATATACAGAATACTAAAGCAGATTTTCAAAACGTCTTCATAACAAAGCCAAGTGTGATTTTCCTGGCAAGTCTGGGTTGTGACATGAACAAAGCTCCCGAATATTGTGCTCTTTTTGTACCTATATTCCTTATCGCTTGCTTTTAAGAATTCGGACGTGCTAAGTCCGTTACATTCTGCTGAATTTCGATACGCTCTTGAGGTTTTTGTGTAGGCTTGTAAAACTTGTCTTTAGTCTATGGTACTTATCAATTTATTTCCGTTCTTTTCTGTGCATGATGTTAATCTGTATGCGTGGTTCCAACAGGCCTTTTTAACATCCGTTTATTGAATTCTTAATTAGTTATATGTGGTATGATCGAGGGACACTAAGTATGCATGTTATTCACATTAGTTTATATAGACATGTTTAATCCAAGCTCGAAATTGATGACATCACGACAGTATTTGTTCTGAAAATACTGAGAACAGTCTGTTTTGTATTTGTGTACATCAGGAAAAAAATCGAATATTTCCATAATACTTACCCTGTAACCCACGCCACCCCCACCCCCTACATTCACACACATAGTAAATTACAAACACTAATCTTCATCTGTTAGACTAGTAATGCAGAATATCACATAGGATACAACAAGGGGAGGTAATAAAATTGTTTCATTGATAGGTAAAAGATAATAGCCTATATTGTTGTAATATGATCGAAACTTACTAGAAATTTCAACCATACAAATTATATTCCATAACACTATGACAGCATTGAAAAATAATAACGGCCCATTTCAACATTGTTAAGATAGAAACGTTACTTACCCGGACTATAGGTTAAGGGTCACCACCGATCACTGTGATTAGTCTTAAAATGACCAAATGGTTGTTACCTTAACGACTATAAAATCAAAGAAAATCATTTATCAGTAATTTTACATCAAATTTGACCTCATCGAGGTAAAACAAGTCTCAATGCTTCAACAACCATAAAAATTTACTTTTAAAAAGTAACTACAAATTTGTTTTTTTGTTTGTTTTTTGTTTCTTGCATTACTATGAGACTTTCTTTGTTGTATTACGGTCACAATCAACCACTTGTTAATAAATCACTAGATTCAATGTTAGTTTAAATTCAGCCACCTTACAGTTTTAAATGACATCATTACCGCCATTAGACAACTAAATGATATTAATTATAAAAAGAAAGAAACTTACCATTATCATGTATCTAGCACTTCTAGGTTTTGTTAAAGTGACACAAACACTCTTACTCTCGCCACAGTCCCCTTACTTCTGATTTTTCAGATACGCTCATATCGAGATTGATATAAAACCTATTTGAAATGTTAATCATCATCTTCCATACAACAACTTGGGATGGCTTTTTTTATCCGTTACAAAGAGCCTTCGGCGTCCATCGGCCGAAGGGATTATCAAGACACCTTAATTTACACCACCTCTCTCGATTTAGATATATAACTTTGTATTTGTTCTATGTTCTATGTACGAGATGCAATTTATGTAATATTTGTGATTTGGTAAAGGGGCAGGTTGCCTCGGAAATTTGATCATTCGCTTGTCCGTACTGTCGATATTACTTCATATATATACATCATGTGTACAAGACATGGAAAATGCTTGTATTGCTGGACAGCACAAATGTAGATCAGTCACGTGACTGTTCATGCATATGCATAACATGTGTAGGTACATTTATTTATATCCTACGGGTAGTGTGGGTGAGCACAATACCTTATATATACAGAGTATACACAGTATAGATCCCAATTCTGAATTACATAAATGTATATGTTACATTTACTTTACCAGTGTCTTATGTATCTCAAAATAGAATTAGAACAACATTTTCAATATAACCATTGTTAAATATAGACATTTACGTTGTAATATATTTAGACTGTTTTAGCATAAGTACGGGGTGAGAAACCTTAAATATATATTCTACAGTGTCTCTAGGTGTGAATTTCCCCTGACACCGCTTAACTTCCGTGACCATGATCGGCTAGTGTGTATTGACAGGTACCCGATGGTACCCGTCTGTTTTCGCTAATGCACTCATCAAGAATTATTTTAACAAGTTGACATAGGATGCAACTACGCAAAATGAGTGTCCTGAATGTTTACAACCTCCCTGCATTACCATTAGACGTAAACGTACCTGCACAGTTTCTAACTAGACGAGGAGGCATATCATATGCTTCCAGTAGCACTCATCATTACAGACCAAGACTTGGGGTAAGTATCCACTTACTTCTTTTAATTTGACAACAAATTTATCGATGTCGTCAATTTACCAGTTTTAAGAATGAAACTTCAATTAAACAGACTACTAGTAGGCGAACGAGGGGTGGGGGATTTCCTTGTTTCCCTTACGAGATACGAAGATTATCTCCCTTGAAGTTTTCGGTAAAACACTGTAAATGAAAATTTATCATGATAATTGACATAAAAGAAACTTTGATCACACTTCAGTTCCAGATTATTGTAGAAATCGTCGTTTCTTTCTCGAATGCAGTTACTTATAGTTAATGATTTTATTTGTGTAAAGATCTGTCACATATTACAAAAATTACAGTGTTAAAAAGTGATGTACAATATACTATACTGATATGGCAATGAATGAACTGTGCCGAAATGACTGAAAAGGACCTAAAAAGTGCCAAAATGGACCACAAATCTGTATTAAATATACCGTTCAGCCTTACAAATTTGACAAATATAGAAAGGTTACTTATGACTTACCCAGCAGGATCTCTGATATTACCCCGATTTCGATCAATACAATCGGGGTGCGAGGCTGGGTAGTGAAAATTGGAAAAACTCCCAATTGAATCAGGAAAGCTGGCAGGTATGAGCATTAGTTTCAGACACCAGGATAATTGTATCTCAGTAGCAATGCTTCGTTGATGAGTTGCAACCCAATAAATACATAAATGTATTGAAATGTATTCATTAAATTAATCGGTGAAACACCGATATTTTCCTAAAAGATATATCCACAAACATGACCTTAAATTCGTTCACCTGAAATGACAGACATGTGTATTGGAAACATATCTTCCATTCTATTTCTGGTGATAGAACTTAAGCACAGAGGTGTTAGAGCCAGTTTAACAGTGGCCCAGAAGTGCACAAATTTCACGTAAAATTATCATTTAGAAAAAAAATGACATTTCAATGAAAAAAAATCAAAACAAAATCATGCCAAGAAAATAGTGGTTATCGATGTCTATGTGTGCACCTTTTATAAAGGCTAAGATTTCATTTAAAAAATTTTTTTTCTTAATTGTGCCACATTTCTTCCTTTACAAATAAGGTTATTTTCTCATGAGCCAGTCTACAACTCATTTGATAATTCAAATCAGAAAGTCATCAAAAGTGATCCTTTTAAAATCATCATTTTCCCGATATAAGATGCACATGGTTAGACTTTTGTGGCAAAAAAATTGCAAGGAGGCGTGGCCTATTATTCATGGCTGATTTTATTACCTTGATAGATGACAACAAAATACTGACATTTGAATATGGATTGACAGTGAGCTGGAAGGATGTTTAGCATGTAAATATGTACATTAAGAAAAAGTACCTAAATTTTCCAATGAAGCAAATAGTCATAATGTTTTACGATGAATGGATTTAATCACAATTTTTGAGAAGCATCCAATGATACAGGAACCATAATCACATGGTCACATATGTATATAGTTTATGTAATATACAGTTCAACAAAATGGCTACACCGATATATACAGTGGACATCAACCAATCTCGAGACAATATAATGTATCTGTATTATTCATCTCTAGTTAAAATTCTTTTCCTTGGAAAAAGAGAATTTGTAATTTTAATTTTTTGTTTGTTTTAGTTAAATTTTAAAATCGCATGTTTTGAGACTTAGCCGGACACTCTACTGCTTGATTAAAGTGAAATTCACACGACCTGACCTGTACTCTCAACTCCTACCTCACTGAGAGGTCTTGTACATATTGTTCAAGGCTATAGCAATATCTACATATACATGATTTAGCATCACTGCATAATAAGTAAGGAAATATCAACGTCATAACCTTTAAATTGCAGGTGAAGACCGAGTAGTTTATGGGATCATTGAACATTTTTGACAAATTGAATAGGATGATAATGATATAATTTATTGCCAACTTCCCCATTATTGTTTCGCTTTGTTTGAATTCAGTGGGAAAAACTAAACAATAAAAGTCCAATGAAAAACCAAGCACACACATTAAACAAAAAATTAAAACTTCAAGAAACATGATTAAACTAGAAAAGTTTTTAAAAAAGAAAGGCTTTGAAATAGTAAAGGATCACGATCAATCATCTAGAAAATACATACTTGACATCAGCAACATCAAATAATGAACAAGGTATGACAAAATGATGGATCTTTCATTCTAATCAGACTCTGAATCAGAGCTCCTGGAAATTAGCCATGCCATTTTATCATAGGATAAAGTGAACATCAGTGATCATTTGAAAAGTATATCTGGGTAATGTCTAGAGCACATGTTGAATCCATACAAGTTATAATAATTTATTATCAAATATGTATCCATGTCACCTGGTAAACTTCTGTCTCTTTGTAATACAGAGTTATCTGCTCTTGTGAGCAGCTATTGATTGGTATATCACTAGCATGTGTGAGAAAATGACATCATATCCTCATAAATTTATGAACTTGTTTTCTCACAAATAAGTGGCGTAAAATTCAATACCTTCTCACAAGAGCAGATAACTCTGTAGTATGAAAAGACCCCGGTTATGTGAATTAGCAATACTAAACAGTCCCAATATTAAATGTCACATCACCGCCTGAACTGATGGTTGAATTGTGTTTGCTCTCCACTAAGTTTAGAAGAGTTTACCTTTACATTGATCGAATTTGTGCCTCAGTCCGTTCATCTGTTTTTGAATCCATGTGTGCAAAGCTTGTGTACATGGTATCTCATGATACCAGTGATTGGGTTACCTGTTAACTATTAAAATTATGTAAATTATGTTATGCTGATACAGAAAATTTAGTATCATTTTTAATGGATTGTATAGATCATTAAGTCAGAAGATCTTTGATTTGCAATTTTATCTGAAGTGAGCAATTTGTGTGAATATTTTAATAATATAAACCAGTTTGAATAGGTAAGATATATAATGTCAGAGCTAGATATTCAGAAACTTGGCAAACAAATTTTGTCTTACCGTTGGGTATGTGGAGGAAAACAATTATAAGTCAAGCTTAATGTTTTATTCCTATTATGATAACGTTAGAATGAATCAAATGCATATGGAAAGTGTTGATACTGTTTGATATTTTACTATGTAATGAAATGTCTATAGTAAGCCAGTTTGGGCTGGGCATATTTTATGATGTGATATGTGTATTATGCGTTTGACACTATAGTGGATATTTGAACATTAATTTGAACTCTCGTGAACTCCTGGACAGATTTTGTTTGTATTCACATCATACCACACACCATCAAATTCTACATCTAATTAGGATTTAGTGGTCAAGGCTAAAAGGGCAAAGGTCACTATTAACCAATTTTGATATTTATAAAACATATATGATAAAATTCCATAAATTGCAGAAAAGATTTAGTTCATATTCGTAACATATAGCATCATACCATCAAGTTCTATACCTAATTATGGTATATTGTAGTGTATCATCAGTCATGGTTAAGGTCAAAGGTCAATGGTCACACTTAACTGATTTTGAAATGAAATCTGAAGATTTCTCATTGATCTCTATCTCGAAAGATGTATTTGATATTTACACCAAAGCATCAAATTTTATACTTAAAGATTAAGATTTTGGTGGCCATGATCATTGGTTGAGGTTAAAGGTCAAAATCACTACTTAACCTTTATTGTTTTACTTCGGTGACATATATATATATACATGTATATAACATCTAAAGACTTAAAGGCACATGTTAAGTACTTGCACTTATCATATACCTTTGTTCGTTGATATGTAGACATATACAATTACAAGTAAAATATAATAAATATATAGACTTGAAGTGTATCAACATTAAGGAAGTACCCTTCTGATGATTGACTTGGTGTTAGACAAAATTCAGTATTTACTGAATTCCTGTGTAATACAATGGACTTTGGTGATTTTATACACTTTGTTATCTGCAGTTGTACTTATAAACCTATTTGGGCACTTTATACGATGTTTTGAAGAACTTTTGCTCGTGGACTACTACTCACACAAAGAAAAAAGATGTGGCTTATAATACAGGATAATACAGTACATTTTATGATGACATAGTGAACGGCAAGATTTAGTAAATATCGTCAACGATTTCAACAATTTCTCGTTGCTAAGGTTCTTCTCTTGAATACCGGTATAACTATTGAATTTGTATGTAGATTCAGCCTTATTTTGCACAATTTTTCTCCATATTACAGAGGTTTCAAATCCATGAATTCCATCTTGATGAACCACTTTTCCTGATTTTAGAATCTGTAAACAAATATTACAGTTTAAAAAACTGACTATTTGAATGGAAATTGCGAAAATGAAGGCATGGTGACTTCCTCTTTTTAAAAAATGAAAATACCATCATAAATTTCTTTAAGCACAAAATCTTATTTTTATATATACTAGAAGATGATCAAAGGAAAGATTTTCCATTTTTCAAAACTTTCATTTTTGGCTGCTATGCAGCTGTAAAGCTTATTAAATCAAATGAAAAATTAGAATTTTCGCATTATTTTTACTTAATATCCAAGTACATATCATATTATCATCTTTTAACGAAAGAAAAACATTTATTTTGAAAAGATAAGTAGCCAAAATAAGAAAGAATGTCTTGTTATTTAGTGAAAAGTGAAGAATGATACCAGAAAATGAATTATATCCTGTTACAAATTTTCTGAGGCCTGTATCAGAAGTGCAGCAACATCTTGAATTTTTGCTTTTTTAATTTCTTTCAAAAGTGTAACATTTCAGAAAATCATCACCAGACGGAAAGTTAATACAGATATTTTTGTAATTTTCAAAGGAGTACATCTTAAAGCTTCTATATTTTGTATTTTTACTTTACAGCTAGTCATCACCATAGAACGAAAGTTTACAATTGTTCATAGCTGAGTTAGAATAACATTTAAGCAATAATGTGATTATGATTATCTTGAAAATGTGATGCTAATTATGAGTGTAGTTATTAATGTGATGCTTACCATATGGACTAAATATTGAA